CTTGTTCTTTTTTGCAATAAGAATAATACGTGCTTCATAAAACGATGCCGGGAGTCTGCCCTGTTTGACTGAGTCAGCCAGCACTGTACTTAGCTGTGGTGCGAGCAATGAAGAGAATGTCTTAAAGAATTCCGCGGGGAACCCGTCAGGTCCCGGAGATTTCCCTGACTGCAATGCGGAAATGGCAGCTTCTAGCTCTTCTTTCGTTATGGGTTCATCCAATCTCATTTTACTGGCAGGAGAAAGGGTGGGGAAGCATCATGTTTTAACACTGTCAGTCCTCATATTAAAACTCAGTCATTTTGAGAGTGAAACAAAATCCTGGCTGTCAGGCAACTGAATCAAGTCATAAATAAATGATGGGAGGCACAGAAGCTGTGCTTCAACAGGGGAATGGGACTATACAACCTATGAGAAGTCTGTATTTTGATGATTGAATAGTAGTTGATTTGTAGCCATGCAAGCACATGGCTTTATGGAACTATTGGATGTACTGTCACGATATTTCGATGTCATAATATTATAATATTTTCTATTGCAATTCAGTACAAAAAATTCTGCCATAACTTCTGAGTAAAATGGCTCAACAAATATCAGGTGGATTGGCATGTGGTCATGTAGAGACATTCATGTCCCCCTCAGGATGAATTATATCAACTTTGAGGATTCCCTGACTTTCATGTAGAGGTTCCTTTACATCAAGGAGACAGTTTTCTAACTGACCAACAGCCTCATCTGTACTTTGTGTTTAGTACATGTTGCATGCTGAACTAAGATGGTGAACATGGTAAACATAGCCTCACATGAACAGCATGTTTGCATGGTTGATGTATGTTATTGTTGGCATTTAGCTCACAGAGCTGCTAGCATGGCTGTAAATTGTTCTTGCTGTATGTGTGTCACTATATCTTGTAGGCTTAATGTGGAAAAAATAGCTTGGCTCTTGACAAAATACAGTTTTTGGCTTTAAGATCATATTTTTTCTCTCCTCTTACCACTAGTGTCTGTTTTCACATGTTAATTCTTTCCATCTCATTGAATTAGACATACATACATACATATAATAATATACCATGTAGTTGCAGGAAACTTCAGAAATCTATGCAAATAATGCCTATGGGAAGATTTTTAAGTCTGTACTGTACCCACATATATAATGTATTTGTTCTCACCAAAGCAACAGCAGCTTGTACTTTTAAGGGGCTCAGGTTCTACCATTTGCCTGCATGTGAATGTGACTGGCAGAATTAGGTCAGGGACAAAAGGCTGCTGCTCTTATTGAAACGGAGAGATGTCAAAATAATGAAATGAACAAAGCCAATGTAATGATAATCTGCAAGGGGCTAGGGTTTTTGAACAATATGTCAGAAGTGCTTCTTTATCATTCGCTGTACACACACAAACACATGCATATGTGTTACCTCATTTATACTTGTACCCATTTATAGTTTCCCTCAAAGAAAACAAGTCAGGTAAATCAATTATAGGCATGGATGTCGTGTGTTTTGACGTAATCAAAATAGTTTCCGGCTCAATCTGGGCTTCCCTATAAAAGTGGTGTCAGGCTTAGTGGTGGAAGGGGAAGGCAAGAAAAGCAAAGCATCTCAAACAGAGGGAAAAGGCCAGATCTGAAGCTTCATTTTCTGTAAGTTCTTCTTTTTTGTTTTTTCGTATTTTACTAGGCTTCAAGCAGAGAAAGTACACTTGGAAAACTGACGTTTCATGTGATAATAGAGGAAACACAAACGCAACTGCTAAATGTGTGTCATGTTGTTTTTGTGTAAGTGCATGTAATTTGCTTGTATTTTAATGAGCTCAGTTCTACCTTTAAGGGTAACTGGATCCACAGTTTTTTCACTTGATTAACAACTTATTGAACAAGAAGCCCAATATGTACCTTTGTGGTGTTTACATGTTTATTTCAGTCCAGTAAACATTACAGGTTTTATTGGATCAGGGATCGACTTGGCATGTCACAGAACCTGAGTGTGTTTTAATCTCTGGCTGTGTACTCCAGGGTCAGATCTGCCAGGCCAAGCTGGAGAAATGGTCCAGTCAGATGTACCAGGAGCCTGAGCCTGCACCGGTAGAGGCCCACATGTTTGACCTGGACTGCCTTCTCTCTGACATCTCTGACACGCTGTTCACAATGACACAAAAACCATGTCCCTGGGCCAGTGATCGACACAACAGTGAGTAATTCACAGTCTGTTACTTTCAGCTGTGACTTCTCTGAAATCCACTTCAAATATGGCATAAAATGACTGAAAAAGAGTAAGAGTAAAGATGAACAACTGCTGGCCTGTGGGTGACATGACAAGATTAAACTGTCTTCATTTTGACTGTGTATTTTTATCATTTGAAATGCACCATTTGGTGATTAAAAAAAAGCTTACTTCTCTACTCAGTTTTTGCATCGTTTCTGCCATGAACAGGAGCCTAGAGGTTAGACTTGAAGATAGATTATCTGTGAATGGTATATTGTATATAATGTAATATAGTGGGGTGTGAAAATCCAGTCTCCAGAAGTCAGTCATTATTCATGTTTGAAAGCTCTTGAAAACCAATTTTCTCTGTCAGCTTCTCACTGTGAATAATGGAGTCTCACATGAGACTCCAGCTATATTTTGTTTTATTCTCATGAGAGATTTTTGTCTTTTGTTGTTTTCTGTTCTTTCCACTGGTGTGAAGTGGGCTCAGTTAGAAAAACATGATGACATTTACTTCCATACACCAATAAGGATTTTGCAATATTTCAATCTGAGGACAGCTGTGGCATTGTCAGTCATATCTGTCAATCAGATTTGAGCAAAGCAAGCAGATTGACTGAAAGTTTGCTTGTTGCTTATTTAGTTATGACAGTTCAGAGGAATTACCATTTTTGAGGAATCCACTAAATTTGCAGAGAGTTTGATGAGAGGATACCACTCTCATAACTTAGAATTATGTTTTGATTTGTCAAGGTGTAAGGGAAGCACATAAAAAAACAGATGTTATACAGTAGGTCTAACCCAGGGAGAAGCAGGAAATTAGCAAATTTCCAAAGCTGTTGAACTATTCCTTTAATATTATGAAAAATGTATACATTTATGGTTTTGTACCACTGCTCCAGTTTTGTCACTTGGTTCAGTCACATGTCAGCAAGTCAGCCAGCAGAACCCATCCTATAAATAATGAAATTCACAATGATGGAAGACGACTTTTCTATGAAACCACACACAAGACAGACACATAAACAGACACACACACACATTTCCTTCTTTCTCATGTCCAATATTGTGTTCTCTTACTCTTACTCAGTATACACTAGCAACGCTGATGTAATCCAGCCAGGCCTGACTCCACTGCAGCCCAACTTGGATGATTTCATGGATAATTCAGGTACTATCCATCTGTGTGTTGCTTTCCTGTCAGGTCTTCACATACAGTACTGTCACAGAATGGCAGCAAAAATAATATTTCTCCCTGATTTGGTTTCTTAATCTATCAAATTTCGACTGCTCATTGTCCTGCATAATATTATTATTCAGCCACAGTATGAGAGATGTGTGCTTGAAAAATATATTTAAAAATATATTTTTTATAGCTGATAGAATGGTCAGACTGACAGTTTAGTGGTTTAATTTCTGGCAAGCCATACAGGGTCTGATTGGCTTTTTCCCAACAATTAAATTACTTCATGCTATATATTTTATTTGATTGATTGATTGATTGGTAGCTGTTGCATCATAAAAATCTGCTCGAGTGGCACTTGGTTTCCGTGCTGTGTTCGCAGTATATTTTTTGGTCCTCGGTAGTTAAAGCAGTGGCAGAAGTAGGGCTGAGGCCAGAGAATGGGGAAGTGGAAGAGGGTGTTTTAAATCTTGCAATATTTTTGTCCTTTTTGACCAATTTTAATAGCTTTGAGTTTACCTTTATATACCACATGAAATTCTGTTCAACATGCCAGTGTTTGTATCATTTTCTTTAGCACAACTTCATTTATTTGACCTGACAATTACTTGTACACTTTGACATGTAACATGTTTATCGACTCATGGCTCTGACACCTCCTATAAGGCAGGGGTAATAAAGGGATGGACTGGGGGATGTTGGAACTTCCTTCTTCATAAACAAGCTCTGGATCACATCTGTTTAATATCCCAAAGAAGATAATTACTTTAGAAGATTTTGAAAGTTAAGTTTGTAAATTGTTTATTACACTAAATCCAGATACACGGCCCTGCAGCTAATTAGAACCATTAATTAAAACACCTATCATCAATATATTTCTAATAACAATACATCATGTGGTTATGTGTAATGTTAAAATTGTCACTTGTAGTGAAAAACTCAGTACAAAAATTAACTGTAGTAAATTCTCACCGTACGTACACATGCAGTGGCCCGGGGCCCTCTGCTCCAAACAAAATTTCACTGTACATGTTACAATAAAATAAAGCTGCTGCTTCTTCTTAAATCGATGCTAATATTGCTTCTGATCTGCTGGATGTGTAAATAGATGTCTCTTAGCTAATTCATCAGCTTAAAAGGTGATGTCAATACTGATTACAACTTTTTTCTGCTGCCAAGAAAGTGCCATATGTGGCATATATACATACATATATTTAAAAAAAAAAATTCACACTCGCCCCACTTCGGGGCAGTTGTATTCCTTCCTTCACAGCACAGTATCTTAGCTGTTCCTAGCATTGCACTCTTCTGGCCAGGGGTCACAGCCACCAATGTTCCTATTACCATGGGGACCACTTGTGCCTTCACCTTCCACATTTTTTCTAGCTCCTCTTTCAGCACTTGGTTTTCTCGAGCTTCTCGTGTTCCTTCTTCCTGATGTTGCTATCGCTTGGGATTGGTACATCTATCATGCTATTTTATTTTTTACATGCTTGAAATCACTATGGCCTTCTTCCTCTGTTTGTCCACCATTACTATGTCCATTTGTTTGGCCATTACCAGTTTGTCAGTTTGTATCTGGAAGTCCCACAGGGTCTTAGCTTGGTCATTCTCAACCACCTTTGGAGGTGTATCCCATTTTGACTTTGGGACTTCCAGCCTGTACTTGGCACAGATGTTTCTGTACACTAAACCAG